GACGGCTTTCTCTTTGTTTACCATGTTGGCAATTGATTTCAATGCCCTAGTCAGATAGAGAGAGAAAGTATGCAACTCGAACACTGGCCACAGGAATGAAGTTTCGAGAAGATGCGAACAAACGTGAGAATGCTTTTGAGGCAGATCCGCCAGTGACCAGTCAGCTAGATATGTCGACGAACATCCAATAAGAGACAAGAGGTCTATGACAGTTTAGATCAACGGTGTCCTTTCAGGTCTAAACATTGATTCAGCTTGTACATGCGCGTTTCTATTGAGTACAACCTCCGATGGATTGTGATCTAAAGTTTCGCCAGCAAGCTGATATTCCGTGGCTCGCTCCAAAACGCTCGAACCATTGGCCAGGGTACTATCACGAGACTATCTTATTTCTCGCCAGGTAGTCTCAGCTGGCTCGAGTTGATGGTGGGAAAGTGCCGAAAGAGGCACGTAGAATCCATCTCCTTGAGGTCTGGAACACAGACCTTTTGGTTTTCGGCCACGTACAGCCAATAAGGTAGAAGCCTGCCCCCGATACCCATGACACAAAGCCACCAGAAGACGGCCAGCAGAGAAGGAGTGAGGATATCGAGGGCTTACTAGAGAGCACTCAGTAGCCCTCTTTAGCAAACCAAACGCCAGCGCACCCGCCAATTCACCATAGTAAGGCACTTACACTACCAATACCTACATAGGTGATGTCAAGGTAGCTGTAGGGGGGGGGGGGCAAATTGTCGATATCCCTGTCCTTAAGGAGCCGGATCACCGGCGGTGCCGTCTATAACATGCTGTTATCCTCACCAATACTCCCAACTAACTGAAGTAGCGGCTCAGCCGCGACAAGGGTCCAGATCTGGATGCTCTTCAGCTGGCGATCTAGCCATTTTGGTACACAACCAGGGTACTTAGTTCGTTCAATCAGCAGTCTAGAAGCCCCAGCTGCATCACCCCATTTCGGCCTTCGTCAGGCAGATCGATTCAATCCCTTTTTGGCACGTTGTCTTTCCCCAGTAGGTAACTCGAGACCGATCGCTGTGCCCGACATGCGGGTTCTAGACCGGACGAACTACTCACAATCGCATCGTGGCAATGAACACGATCTAACTCATCTTCGACTTCAGCTTGGAGTTGTTGTCAGCTGAGCTATGATAGTCTGTCGATGGTCTGGGGACCGACGGTCTGTTGCTGAACAAAAGTGGTTGATTGAGCGAAACACGGCAATTGCATGATCATTTCCTGTTGTATATAGCCTGCGATTCGGCACTCATATTTCCTCATATTTCCTCATCATTCATTCAATCCTCAGATCGATCCCAAGGACATTTCCCTCATTCTGCTCTTCGAAACTCAAAGCAAGACTCACTCTTCAATTCGCCCACCATGCCTGACTTTTCCATGGAATTCACCAACGCCTCCAAGACCGTATTCAGTTACGAGAGAGGGGACTATCCTGCCGATCCAGTCGTTGACACCATCAACCAATCTCCGGCCAAAGAACTCGCCAAATTCTCCACCGAGACCTACTCTTGGTCCCAGGCTGCCTCGAGCATCGTCTCCTACAATGACGGCTCCTGCTACTGGAACGACTCGGCCTCTGGCCAGTGGTTTGGCGTCAAGATCCATGCACCCGTCCAGGTCTTCATGATCGGCACCGCACCCTATTACCAGGTCTCGTACTGGACTGGCAACGAATCGACTTCAAAGAAGGACTGGTTCACACCTGTCAACGACCCTTCTACCGTCTACGATTTCCCTTCAGATGTCAAGTGGAAGATCAGAATCCATCCCACTGCTGCTCATACGACCCTGCAGCTGGCCATCTCGATCTCAGACAAATAGTCATAGTACACGATATCATAATAGAAAACATTCATCAATTTGTTGTGGTCACTACCACGAGGGGCATCTTATATGCTGATTCAATGCCGAGGATGACATTGTGTCGAAAGTGATCTCTGGACATAAGCGGGCGTGCTTCGTTCACTCTGGTGATCCGGATGGTCGTTTGCTGTAGCTTATGCCTTGATGCTGAGGGTACGCTGAGCATTAGTGAGAAGTCAGCGGGCACTCCCCTTAGACATAAGTTAGCGCCCGCTAGACTTCGACGGAGTTTGCCACCTTGACCCCTAGAAACGCCGAGGTATCGAGACACTACCCCGCTGAAGACTTCTTAATCGTGAGTTTTGAGCCATTTTCCACACTTAAAGCACTGACTATGTCGAGAACCGCCGTAAAGTGGAGCCCGGCATTCCGCTGCGGCGCGGCCCGCCCCAGGGTCCAGGCCCCAGGCCCCTGATTATTGCCAACGAACCGCGCGGTCTTGGTTCTGCCACATGGTTTCTTTGCGTTCAAGGATGTATCCAGTCTAGAACCATCCCAAACCTCGTGTACTACTGATCTATCGACGGGAGGCTCGCCTTAGTTGGGACGGTGGGTGGCTTACGCAGTCTTGACCTAGTTAAATCATCAAAAATGGCAACGCGTCGGGCAAAGTGGAGGAGCTGAAAACCAGGGTTGCTTTGCTTAGAGCGGCTGAACAGGCCCAGAACATTTCCGTCCCGTCTGGTGACTCGTGAGGATATGTCCTGTCGATTCACATGCAATGGCTCACAGTCGCAAAGCAGTGGCCGACGACACAACGCGAGAAAGGGCTGTCACGGATACTGGTCCATAGAACGGATGTCTTTGGAAGCGCCGTGTTCAAAGATTGCTTCGTTAATGGCCGACGCATCGGTCGTGCTTCGAAGCAAGACTATATAAACCGTATCGTGCCGTCAGAATGTCTTTGACACCAAGATTTGATCTGTGCAGAACAAAATCTCAAGCTCAACCAATACATCCCCAGAACCTTTCATACATCAATCATGCTCGGCTACGAAGAGGCTAAAGAACGCTCGCTGTATCTAATCGTTCAGACTCAGGTTATTCAGGACGAGTAGGCTTGTCCCCTGCCTCTTGCTGTTGGCATTATTGACGTCTTGATGTCTAGTGTAAAGGGATTCCAGGATAATTTCTTCAAGCTCTGCCGTGCTGCCAAGGAGACGGTTGAGGCCACCCTCAAGAAGAATGGAATGAATAGCATGGAAGAGCTCTTCAATAAGGCAATGGCTGAATTGCCCAAGGAGGAGGCTGAGAAGTACAGAAAGGTGAGCCAACTTCTATATTTTGGTAGCGATAAAGGAGAATACTAACGTTCAAGGATAGACAATCGAGGAGCTCAAACCCAAAGGTGTCTTGGACATGATCAAGCATCCGGAACTGAGGGACGCTCTTGATGCAGCAATCTGGTTGGGAGACTTCATGGCGTCTATGGCAGCCTGTGAGTTAACTCTTCTACAACGTAGATTTTATGGATGGGTCTGACAGTGATTATAGTTTCATATGCATCGAGAATCAGTGAGAACAACTCTACGTATGTAAGTGGCATCTACTAACGATGAACAGAGGCCGGATTGCAGCTTGAATCGGAAGCATTTGCGAAATTGGGTCCATCGTATTCTAGAGGTAAACACTAAACATCTATGGGAAGAACCTCATGAGCTAACTATCGTCAAAAGTCGCCGTTAACAGGGCCATGGCGGAGGAGGCAACCCTTGCGCTTAGGGAGGCTGCATCCGGAAAGCTCACCACGGAGGGTAAGTTTTTGGGAGCCGAGGCGGAGTGGACTACATTGACTGACAGCATATAGCGTTCGCGGCCCTCGCCAAGAAGTTCAATGAGCAGACTGGCAAAGAGATCTCAACCGTTGCCGAACGGCGTATGCTCGAATGGGATGCAGAGCAGCTTTCAAAATTTTCTGCAGCCGAGGAGAAGCTCGCACTGAATGGGTTGAGTGATGCAGAGAAGGTCGCGGCTGAAACGGCAGCTGGGGCCAGGGGGATGGTCAGAAGTGGAATTGTAAGTCTTCTATTGTCTGGTTTTTCCTGTGACCTTGAGGTTGTACCCTAATACGATTGCATCCAGTACGGGTTGATCGCAATGGCCGTTATCATGGGTGCTACTTGGGCTTATAGGGAGTACCAAGAGCACCAGATGGCCGAAAAGATGAAGGACGGAATCCAGCAGCTCGCCACAGGTCGTCTCTATGCTCACCAGGCCAAGCTCACGGCGCAGGCCTATACATCTCTACCTGTCAGTCCCACATTGTATTTGAGAGACTTTGATGCTGACCTTTGAGCGCACAGACCATCATTGAGGATATTGCTGACGCTTTCGATGAACACGATACCCAGGAGCTGAATAAGAAGCTTGACAAGTTCGTACTTAAGTCGAGAAAGCTGGTGCCGAGTGAAGACCTGAAGGCTAGCTTTGACCAGCTTCGCGAGGGCGACAAAGCGCAGAACCAGAAACTTGGGGATGATCCTGAGCTAGAGGACATTATCAGAATACATAAGGAGAAGGCGGAAGCGCTCAAGCAGACGAAGTAAAGCGATGGCGCTGGGATTATGCGTTCATGTCCAAAGACGCTCCTTTTGAGTGATAAAGCCCATCTTATTTCAGAAGTTCCAATTTCGCGAAATAGTTCGATTTTTCAGTAATGCAGGAGAAGTAGTTGCCTCGAATAGCTAGAGTAATAATCAGATCGGTGGCACCTGATGAAAGCCTGGTGTCACATGCGTCTCTTCTTTTTGACTGTTACTCCGAGTGGTCGAGATATTCCCAAGTTGTGTATGCTGCCATGTCGCAGTCAGTATAAGTCATATTGTATCTCGGCTGTGTAAACTATCGGAGCATATAACTTGAAGATGGGTGCATTCAACTCGTCATGTCTCCTGCAAGTTGCAACCTCACAAGGTTGATATTAGTGATTTGCCTCCACACCTTTGAGCGTGTAAGTCCCGGCCTATGATATCAAGCGAGCTTTACGAATACTAATCTATCCTATTCCAAACGGGCCTCTTTTCCGACCTTTACAACTCCGTCATACACGTAGGACATGTTTGCTTCCATCCACATATTCTCAACTAAGGAACGCAGAGACTGGGCATCGTCCTCAATACTTAGGGCTTTGGTATTACGGTTGTACTTGTCCACCAGGGCCTCAAGGAAAGCAGAGTTTGCGTATAGGTCGGTTCCGGCGAAAAGGCATGCAGGAACCCCATCTCGTTCTCCAAGATATTAGGCGGGCCCGTGACACCCGCGCGAGCCATGAGCGCAGCTTCGATGCCTAATGGCCCGCCGTGGCCCGGGCGAATCTGCCGCGTCTTGGCGTCCGTCGTCTGGAAAGCCACGAGACCGCCTGACCTTGATGTCGCGACCCTCAAAGCGGACACGATGGTCGCGGCGTCCCAGCTGAGGAGGTTACCGACCGCCACCGCTACGGCGAGCTGTCCGTTGATGGCCGGGTTGTGGAAACCACGCCCGTCTTCTACCGAGGAGCATGATACGAGGCCGATTCGCGCGCAGACTTCGTAGCCTGCGGCGAGAGCAGTGAGGAAGTCCTCGCCACTGGTGTTTGTGTTTCGAGTGGAGGCGTAGACTAGCAGAGCGGGGAGGACAGAGGAGGACGGATGCGCGTTCAGCACGACGTGCTCGATTTGTAATGCACCGGCTGCAATACCGTTGAGATACATCGCGCCAAAGATTGTGGTCTCTGAGCCGTCTATGGCTGCGACTGACTGGGGTCCGCCGTTGCCGTGGATGTTTGTTAGTGCCTCCGTCGAAGACTTATAGACAGGTTTAACCATGCCGTTCAGCATAGCTGGGATGATGTCGATGACGATGCTAGGAAGAGTGCCGTATAGGCTCTTTGGCAGCGCTTTAGAGGTGAGGCTAGCTGCGAACCTCGCTAGGTCCATCGTGTAGTTTCCTGAAGCCATTGGGGTTGGGCTCTTGCTTGGCTCAATGACAAAGAAGTGGCATCAAATCATTAGTAAATACTGGGAATAAGGATCTCGATAAAAAAACTCTTGAAAATGCACTTACTGACCGTAGAATCGACAAGCTTCATATTATTTATTATACCTCTGTTGTACGATGATGATAAGATGGCTCGACTGGCCTGGAGACGGATTCGGGGTTTTGCTGCAGCCCTCACCCGAAGACGGCGAATCTCTGTGGCAGAGATCTTACCCGGTGGCAGGTCTGAACTGATCTCTCCTGCATCAATGGTGACTATTGTGACGCCCGACGGATGATGTCTTGAGTATCATTGAGGAGACTTTGGTGAAAAAATATAGACTTACAGCTAAGTGCTGAGACGGTGTCCTCTCTATCAAGTATCCGTAAGCGAGGCCTTGCGTTTCTCAAAAGAAACCAAACTTGGGCGCAGTGTCTCTAGTCAGTGACGATGCAGTAAGTTCAGTCTGAATTGTCATGTCTGAGATATGTGTATGAGAGAAGTCTTCTGTTGTGTCATTGGACTATCCCTCCTACACCTTTGACAAGATACTCATCAACAAACAGTGGTCTCCAGGGCTCTCGCAGAGCATACAAAGCAGACGTGACTAGTCTGCTATCCGCTAATTCTTCATATCGTCCAAGAGACTTACAAAGTCCAGTAGAACCCGTTGCGCGGAACGAAGCCCGCCCAAGCACATTTCGTTGCGCATGGAGACAGGACCACCGAGCCGGATAAAGTCCGTAGCTGCGCTGCGCGTCTCGCTGTTCGATGCCACATCAAAGTCATCAGAAAGGCTCTCAGCGCTAAGGCACTTCCAGTAAACGTCGCCGAGTAACTCAAACTCCCCTTCGCGCAGCCGCTGTTATCATTCTTGTCAGGAGGTGAGGCAGGGAGATACAACGCCAGGACGGGGGCAGCACTGAACAAATGCTTGGGAGCGGAGAATGATAGACTGACTCGGTTTTGTCACCGAGATATGGACCTAAAGGAATGTGCCGCGTGAAGATAGGCTCGCCTCGCTACTCGGGTCTGGGACCAGATCCTAAGCATGGGGATTGCGTTCTTTGCGGCTTCGAATCCGTTCCTCGCAGCTACTTTTTCCAGAAGACAGCAGTCTGTGGTTATCACCATGGTAGATAACATGGAGCTTGGCAGAAACGACCTAGTAAGTTCAAAAGCCGCAAGGGAGGTTCCAGAAGCTGTCTAGCAACGGTGATCTCATATGTTGGTCGCAGATAATCCAAGACGCGCGATTTCCAAACGGTTGTTGCCAAGGTCATTCTGCCCTTCCGTGAGTACTACCTAAGAACCTAGTTGTATTATTCAGCCACGATCTGACTGTGGATTCAAGGTTTTCGTTCCGCTGTACATGGGAATCGGGTTGATGCGACGAGGATCGCGGGTGCTGAGCCGTATGACGTGCAGTCTTTCGAGGATATCTACCCCCATATCCCTACAGTTGGTCCTGATTCAAGTAGCAAGGTCAACGAGCCATCCCAGGTATGAATTTGAGGGGTTATTGAGTAGAACTAGCTAGGCCATGACAAATGATCAGTCGCTTTTTATGAGTAGAGATAAAATAGAGCAGATGAAGAACACGAGTGGTTGAAGAGACGTGTTGAACTATTGGTTGAGGGTGTGTGAGTCACAGCTCCACAACCAAGCGGAATATGGGTTACAGAACCATCGAGATTTTCGTCAACAAGCCTGAGCACAATAGCTCAGGGGTAGAGCGCTGGGCTCATAACCCAGAGGTCCCTGGATCGAAACCAGGTTGTGCTAGTAAATCTTTTGCAATTCATGGCAGTTTATTTCTTTTGAGCGAGATTCTCTGTTTCCTTTTGTTTTGGCTCGAAAAACAACGTCGGGTTGCGTCCCCTACTGCTGAAGACTTATGCGCTGCTTAGTCATGATATTATCGCACTTGTCCAGCAACATCAGAGCTACGTGTATTCAATACTTGCAATTTCACTAACCGGCTATTCATGACTATTGTACATGCGAATGCTATTCCTGACGATTTGCGCAGTACGTTCGGGAAAATGGGGAAGGTATCTGAGTTCCTGTAACCTCTTAAACTTTCTACTTTACACAGTACATATACACTTTCTATCTTTACAATGCCTTCTCTCGTTGGCCAACAACACGATCGAAACTGTCAAACGCCATCGTCATCGAGTGTCTTCCGCCAGTCTTGCCTCTCAGCTGCTCGTCAAAGTTCAAGACCTCCTTGAATGGCACCTTGGCTACAATTTCCACCGTCCTGGCCAACGACTTTTTCCCCCTCAATGAAGCCACGATCTCGTACGGATCTGGCGGCGCGTAGATACTGCTGACGTCGATGTGCGAACTCGACTCGGCGGACTTATCATTGACCTCCAGTACGTGTCCACCGGCTCCTGAGCTGATGTCATGCTGCACCAAGCCCGCGGCCGCCTCGGGACAGCTGATGTGTAGAAGCATGACGGGTTCGAGGACGCCCACGGCACCCTTTGTGATGTGCGCCTCGCGGAGTGCTTCGCGCACGGCTCGAGATGCTGCGCCGGCGAAGTGTCCACCGGACGGGCTCTCGGCGGCTGCGGCGTCAACGGTGATGGTGATGTGGCAACCTTGGACAGGGGAGCCGCGGCGCGGGCCGCGGGCCACGGCTGCGACGGCGCCATTGATGAGTTGCTGTCGGGCTTCCTCGGGATCAAAGGCTATGTTGCCGTCTTCGGGGAGATCAATGATGACGTGAATCATGTTCCCGTCGCGTTCGACAGTCGGCTCAAGTGCGGCTTGGCGGTGGTGGTCTTCCAGAGGTTCTAGAGTTGCTGTACATGATACCTTGCCCGACTTACTCGCGACGACCCTGTCAAAGGTGACATGATGCGGTCCGATTGAGGACGTGATGCACTCTTTGTAATCGACCTCGATAGGACCGAAGTCGGCTTGAACCTTAGGGTTCTGCTTGAGGTTGTAGACGGCGATATCAAGGTGGAGTTTGCCCATACCCTGCAGGATGAATTGCTCTGTCTTCTCGTCACGGCTCCATCTCAAGCTGGGATCTTCTCGTGACGCGTTTTCGAGCGCGATCTCTAGCTCCTTGGAAGCTGTGGGCCCGTGGGGGTCAATCGCGAGGAAAGCCACTGGCGGAGGAATTTCTGGGGGCCTGATCTGGATATGCTTGAGGGCATCCGGGATCTGCTTCTGAGCGATAGTAGCAAGCAGCGTGTCGCCCGTACGAGCCTTCTTCAGACCCTTGATGGCGCCAATCTGGCCAGTGGCGAGGTGTTGCACATCTTCCGTCTTCTCCGCGGATATCTGCAACAAGCCGAACGGACGCTCTGCCTGCTGATTATGCGTGTTCCAGGTGGACGAGTTCTTGTGAAGTTCGCCAAAGTAGACTCGCACGAAGCTCAAGATTCCCTCTTTGGGGTGATTATAGACCTTGAAGACGGAGGCGACTGCTGCCACACGCTGCTGGCCTGGCTTCTTGCTCGAGTTCTGACCGAGTAGCGTAATGAGGTTGTGCTTTTCCGGGCCGGCACGGATCTCAAGATCAGGTCGTTCGTCAGGACTGGGAAGGTAGTCAACGATGGCGTCCATCAGGGGCTCGACACCGATGTGCCGGAAGCTAGCACCTGCTAGAACGGGAATAACGTTTCCGTCGCCACTGCGGATGGCGCTTCGAACGCTGTCTTTCAACATCTTGCCTGTGATTTTGTTTGGGTCGTCTGCGAACAGGTCCATAATGGACTCATCACATTCAGCGAGGCCTTCAATGAGCCGCTCGCGAGCTGTCTCGATTTCATCGAGAAGATAGTTGCCCTTGAGTACCTCTTGCAGTTCCGCGAACTCGTACTTCGTCTTCTGCTTCTCTGCTTTCCACCGATATCCGACGCGGTCAATGACGTCGATGACACCGACAAACTGGTCTCCTTCCCACCACGGAATTTGGCATACAAGTGGCCACCCGTTCAGACGTGACCCAATCTCCAACACGGATTTTCGAAATGAAGCACCGTCTCGGTCGAGCTTATTGACGAAGATAATGCGAGGGATCTTGTGATCGTGTGCTGAAGCCCACACTCTCTCCGTATGAGCTTCTACGCCTTTCACTGAGTCGATGATACACACAGCACCGTCAAGAACAGGCAGACACCTGTCGACCTCAAATCTGAAGTCTTGATGACCTGGTGTGTCGATAAGATTGATCGTTTTGGGGGTCGTGCCTGGGGCGCATTCCTCGTGAAGGGGCCAGTTAAAAGTGATGGCTGCTGACTGAATTGTGATACCTCGTTCCCGCTCCAGGTCGAGGAAGTCAGTCACTGTGTTTCCTGCATCGACGTCTACAGTGTCGTGGTCAGCCAAGAGGGTCTTGGTACATACTTGCCGCGGCTACAGCTCTCATCCAACTCCGCGAGACAAAACGTTGATATGAAAACGATTGCAAGGTAAAATGACTCCTACATACCTCCAACTCGGCGAGTCACGCCGCTATAATACAACATGCGCTCAGTCGTTGTGGTTTTGCCCTGAGAATAAATCAGCCATTCTATCACTCAAGCTCAAAAGGCGACTGAATACGCACAGCATCGACATGGGCAATAATTCCAATATTTCTGATATCCTTGATAGGAGACCGATGCTTCGATTGCACCGGAGGTGTGTGCATTGACCTTCGGAAGCTCACAATCCCAGCGAAACAAGACCGCGCTGGTAACCCGCCGACATGGCTTTGCCTAGGCACTGAAGCTCGAAAGACCAGCATGACTAGACCATCAAATATGGGTTTTCGTAGTACAAAATACGAATGTGAAAGGTGGCGATGAACTCCAATCACATTTTAGAGTGCCATGAGATAAGTGCGAACAGTGAAATGACGTCGCAAATGTCGTTAAGTTAGATCATGGATGAAGCTGTTCACAACATGATGGCATGAGAGCTCTCTAATCGACTGCACTTTCACTTTGATCAGTCGGCAATCAACCAATCCGCGCAGCAGATGTCCATACACCCATGTAGTCCGAAGCAGGAAGGCGGTCAACAGAGCTCTGGCTCGTTCCTGCCAGAGCGGATGTCAGTGTCAAGTCAGTGACCTCCCTCAGAAAAGAGGCTGGGGGGTTGTGTGGCTGGTGCTCAACCGCTGCGACTTCATGGTACCTATGATTTGCGCCTGCTACGTGTACCAGTGCCTGGTAGATATACTTGCTCCATCAAAGTATCCACCAGCACACTCCTTCTATCTGCTAGGAGCTTCAGGAGCCAAAGAGTTACGGAACTTGACTCGTCAGCCTCTTGTCCGGACGTCACACCTTGCACCCACCTTGCTTCTTCTTCACACCCACACCCACATCACAACACATCCTTCTTCCAAACCCGCGATATCTAGCTGCCTGGCCAATTCATCCACGCCAGCTTCCCTTCTTCTTCTTCTTCTTCTTCTTCTCTCATCCACCTCGCTTGCGCTCCGCTATCGAATCTCCGTCCATCCTCAACAGTAACGCAATCTACAACTCGCCAAAATGGAGCTTTCCGACGCCTTGTATGTGGTCCCTAGTCTTTGCGATGCGGTAGCTACCCAATAGCTATCCTGCGCATGCGCAAAAAGCTAACCAGGCGTCACTCGCATCAGCCGCATCGTCAACTTGGCCACCGCGACCATCATGGTCCTGGGCGGCATTGCCCAATTCTTCAACTTCAACTTGTACGTCTTATCCGACCCCCCCCGACGGACCTCCCGTGTCTACGACCTCTACTTGCGCGCGCGCACGGATTCCTCGTGCGACAGCCAAACCCCTTCATCGTGACGAAGGAGACATGTGGTGGCATAGCGATTTGATGACTCTATACTGACAACTCTGCCTGTGTAGCCAGGGTATCATTGTTGGCGCCTACGTGATCATCTTCGGTCTCTGTAAGCATTCACCCCCTCCTGAAGCTTGCATAGGATGCATTCTTGGTAGTGACATGGCTAATGCGATTTGATTAGGCACTGCTCTGCTCGGTATTTGATAATGAATCCTCAATCTCTGAAGCTCCTCTAACAAAGTACCAGAGTTCCAAATCCCTCCCCAAGTCTCCCGTTACGCTTCATTCCTCTTCTCTTTCGTTGGCCGCGGTGTCTGTAAGTTTCAAAGCCCCCCTCCGAATATTCTCGTAGTCGATGCACACTGGTTCTAATGCGGCTCCTTCCTCGCAGTCTACATTTTCATCGGCTCCATCCTTCTCTCCGACGGTGTCTTCAAGATCATTGCCGGCTCTATTGTCGGCCTTATTGGCGTCGCCTACGTAGTCCTCGAGTTTGTTCCCCAGATCGAGCCCCCAGCCAACATGCGCGAGGCCGACGGCGGCTGGGGTGCGGAGCAGGTGTAAGCTAGCAGCCCCTTTTCAACCACACAAAGAAACCAAATTTCATCTCGGATGCCTTTTGCACTCTACCAACATTGAAACCGTTGGAAGAGAGGTAAAGGCACGGATTCTTCTCCCCCATTTTACAATTCGCGAAACAAGACAATGAACCGGGTTTGCTGAGGCTTTTTTTCTTTCGAAACTTAAGATACTGAAAAGAGACGGGGAACTCGACATCGCGTAAAACGATCACGACAACCAATTCCTCAGCTTCATCCATGACAATGGGGAACAAAAAGAACGAGAAGAGAAGCGACCAGATAGGAACGGCAGCGTGGGAAATTTCGACGCGAAGCTCCCTTATGATGTTTGGCCCCACCGAGCAGGCTGTATATTGTGTGTATTCACCACTGTAAGGCACGAAGGTTGTGTGTGTGTGTTGTGTAGGGAAAGAGCATATGCTTCATTGCATTTCGACTTGTACGACGGAAGACTGTGCCAGGTCTAGTGGCACTTTGTATGACTTTTTACTTAGATGGTGTAAAGGAGAAAGGGAGGCCTGGAAAAGTAGGGTATCGTTTGGGATCCGCAATGGCTAGTCGTAACAGACTTGATTTTTGCCCTCCAGAAGCCTTGCTCATACTACCTCATATTTGCATGATGTCCGCGACGATTCCAGCCTCCGTGATGTAACTGCGGGTGCTACACCATTGCCTTGTCGGTGGTTCAAGGTTTGAGCGAAACGTTGGTCACTTACAGTTCACGGTGACCGGAAGGTAGACTTCTGGTGAAAAGGGGGGACAATCCCATTGTGCTTTAGGTAGATAACTAAACCATGCGAGCAAAGTACATTGCTTCGGCTTTTGATATTTCGACGCGCAGACTTCCGATTGGGAAAGAAGGGCTACTACATACACCCTACAGCATCCAAAGACGCCTTGTGCCATGCCAGTTTTTGACCCTCTTCATACCGTCCATTGAACACGAAAATATCTTGCTTGGTTCTTCCCGAATGCCTCTCACCTCTCTGATTCCGCTCGCCCGATAACCACTTTACAAATGGTCGGGTAATCTGTCAATAAACACCGTTCGAAATCCCATCCACCCTGAACGACAACGGAAAGAAAAAACTCCTGGTCCGCCCTTGGGGAAACCTCCCATCTCCCTCCCTTTCCGCGCGCAAATTCCATTTTGTAATTCCATTCGGTTTGTTGTAAACAGAAGAAAACGCCCTCTTCGTGAGTCGGAGAAAAACACCCTGTAAAGAAAGATGCCATTTTTTGTTGAGTGGCCGCCAAAATGCGTCCCAAAAACAATCATCCTCTCCCATTTTGTGTAAGGCCAGACCCCGTTCGTTTCTGTTTTTCTCGTTCGCCCCTGGTGAAACCGTAAATGGAAGAAGAATAGCTTCAACCTGTTTGATGATGGAATAGACGGCCCCAGCCGACCGCTTCGCACAAAAAGGAACTCCAAGCCATGATGTGTGTGTGTGTGCCCATATTGTCCCAATAAAATCAGTTGTCCGATGATCCCGTGGTTCGTTTGTATCGTGATGGAACTTTCATTAGTTTCCCATGTCCGCTAGCTCCTTCTCCTTCGCTGCCAACATCTCCCTCATCCGTTCAGCTTCCCGGATCAATGCTGCCCTCTTCTCTGCCTTGACTCTTTCATTTTCTGGCCTGAATCCCGGATTGCTCGTCTGACTGCTCGGTCCAGGTGATGGAAGAGGCGTCATGTGAGCATTCGAGTAGGAACCTGGACTCGGTGCGGAGGCGGCCGGCGACATAGCAGATCGGGCGTAATGTTCCGCGGCGTCATCGCTACCCGAGTGGTAGGCCGGGCTGTCATCTGCCGTTGTCGGGTTGAGGATTGACTTGATGGACGATAATCGCTTGGACGTGTCTGGTCCGCCATCGCTAGACGGATTTCCTTCCGCAGAAAGTGATCGTTTCCTCGATGGAGACAAGAAAGAACCAGGTGACAGAGAGGGTTGGCGTTCCCCCATGGCGGCGAGCGATGTGATCGGAGCAAGGCGGTTATCGTCGTTCAGCGATCCCGGATAGGGGTTCGAAGTTCGGGAACCCGAAGATTGATACGCAGCCAAGTCATGCGAAGGCAGCGGCGAGCCTTGTCGATTCGGACGCATAAGTGGATCTGGAAGCATGGTGGCAGGATTCTCTTCCCGACGTCGAAAGCCCAAATTGATGGATCCGTCCTCGTTCATCGTGCCCCTTTCCGGACTTCCCTCTGGTGCTACGCTCTGCGTCTCTGAACCCTCAAGCATCTCTTCCGTCCACTCGCCGCCAAACGAAGATGGTATCACTCGTTTCCGTCTCTTGATGATCGACTTCTTCATAGTCACAGGCCGGTGAACTCCGTGAAGTTTGTAGTAAAGACCTGTTCATGTCAGCATGTTAAAGATTTCCCCAGAAAAAAGACGGCACGTACCGCAAGCATTGCAAATCGTGTGGCCACTTTCGTCTCGTCTCCATAGCGGGGTGATGGTAGTGCCGCAATTTTGGCAGGCGATCACAACGGTATGATTTGGGTTTTGTGCTTGCTGTATTTGCAGAGCGGCGATGTCGACAGGAGCAACGGGGTCGTCGACGGCCATGGGTTCACCCTGAGATTGGCTAGACGAACCGCCGCCGCCAGCACCACCACCGCAACCACCTTGCCCCTGAACGTTCAGATGGGCGGATTTCGATACTCGGTTGTTGTACGCAGGACAACCACTGCAGCCTTCCGCACCACCGGTACCGTTGCACTTTCCACCCCCTGGACAGGTGCCTGATGGCGCCTGTTCCTCCGTCACATACGTGGGAGCGGGAGCACTGAGATATTTTGGGCCTGGACCTGGTGCTGGCGCAATCTTTGGGGGAGCCGTCCTGGGTGCCGCTGCAACAAGATGCGGGGGTTTCTTGAGGTTAGTTGGGCGTGATGCGTTTCTCGCCTTCTGATACAGGCCGCAAGCGTTGCATATCGTCGTTCCTTGGGGAGATCTCCTCCATAACGGTGTTCGTGTTGTACCACAATTACTGTAGCTGGTCAGCAAGCGGTCCACAGGGGGTTGGAAAGAAGCCCGTCGCCCTCTTACCTGCAGACTTGACCCGTCTGACCTGAAGAAGACGTTGTCGCCGTTGACGGTGCCGGGCTAGGTCTTGGTTCTGATCTCACGTCCTTCGGGGAGCCATCACTGGATACTGAGACCGGACTCCTGGCCTGTGACCTCGACATGGCGTCGCTCGACGGACTACGTCGGGAATTTGGCCGCAAGGTCGCCGGTCCCTCAAGGCTCTCGCCTCGGCCTACTGGACTGTGGCCTCTCGCCTGCTCCATGGCAGCGTACTGCCCTCCTTCGCGGGCCTTGGGGGACATGCGTCGTGATGGGAGAGCGGTTCGGATGGTCGAGGGCGGCTGTTTCGCCGTCCCCTGTGCCGCCGACGACATGCCATCGGCCATAGCCATTCGTGGAGAGCGTGGTTTCGGTCGAGGTGGGATGTACTAGCCGTAGGTGGTGTTGAAAGCAGCAGAAGACGTGTGTACCGTACTAGTCGAGGCGAAGTGTAAGAGGACCTTGACGAGTAGGAAAGGGGGTATCGAGTACGTTGATTTGATGACTTCGCTAGGCAGAGATAAATGCTTGGCCCGGAGAAAGGAAACGGCTTCGGAGGAGGGAGATAACTAGCGGCGAGACGGTCGTAGGATGGCGTATAAAGAAGTAGGAGAGAAGTAGGGCCCGAGTCAAACTTAGACAACCCCACCACGGTGCAAAAGGTGGTTCGACGGTCGGCAGTCCGGAGGAGGAGAGGGTCAGGGAATGGAATTGGCCCGTCCTCGAGTAGACGACAACGTCAGGAAGTGGCTGTGGAAGACCGGATGACGGAGCAAGAAGGCGGAATCGGAGGCCGGGGGAAGGAAACAAGCACCAGAGGGTCGCCACCGTTGATCAAGGGCAACAGAAAGGTCTCTAGGTGCTGATGCCTCTTTACGGGGTACACAGTGTGGTGTGAGAGGCTGAGGGGCCTACTGTACGCCAGGGGTCGGTTTCTTCTACAGCCCCGGATTCGGTTTCTTCTGCTCTACCAGGAAGAGGGGGGTGTGAGAGTGTTGCAGACGAGTTGAGAGAGAGCGCACGGGAGCCTAAGAGGGTAATGATGGTGATTTCGAGTGCATGCTGAGGAGAAAACAACCGGCGTTGCTGGCGTTGGCAGACATGTAAGAGCCCCTCGTCGACGTGAAGGGAAGCGAGTTCCTCTAGAGGGTTCACCGGGCGGTGAGAGAGCCTGAGAGGTATCGGCAGGTGTTTGGTGGGCTCTTGGGGGGGAACAGTTAGGTGGGAAAGGGGGGTGGGAGGTTGCTTGTGAAGTCTTGAAGCAGGCCAGAATTCTGGAACGGTGGAAGCCAGGCTGGAAACGTAGTGAACGTATGTTGATCTTGGACAGGGGCGGGTGTTGGTCTAGTGTGAGAGTAGTCGAAGCCACTTGTATGTGAGGTGTGTGCCAGTACTTGCGTAGGGCGGCGATGATGTGAGGGACGAGGAGGAACCACGGCGCTGGAAGTGCGTGAGGTGATGGCAGAAAATCACGAGAACAGACTGGACAGCCCACGCTACGGCTCCTGCCTGCGACTAAACTGCTGCGTCCGCGTCTGGGCTCTCTCCTCTCTCGCTTCCCAATGACGAGTGACGGACGACAAATGGGGGAAAATCGGAGCCTAGGTGCTGGGTCACCGTGGGTGATCTGAGCTGAGAGGTCACGGATTACAACAGGTGGTCGTTGATTGGCCGTGATGAGGAATGTCGCTAAGGCACAACGACAAGGGTGACAGGGGGCTTCAATGTCTTCTAATCCACCCGCCGGTCCAAAAATCCACCTAGCTGCGTCCAACATCGCGGCATTGATGGCACTTGGGTACAAGAGACTTTTTTTTTTCATTTATTTTTTTCACTTCTTTCCTTCCGTGATCCAAGGATAGGATCCAATCTGTGCACTTATCAACTTTTTACGGTTTCCGCGTATGTCAGGAAAATAGTGCTTCGGCTGTTTCGTCATCTTGCCGGGCGCCACGAGGTTGAGTGTCTCTTTATCCATGAATCTTGTTCCGACATCTGGCCATATCTCACTCTCTCTTTCAAATCCTTTGACGAAAGCAGATCGTGACCAAGACACCACAACCAAGATCCCCCCAAACCAGTCACCAAACATCTGGATCACGATAGCGACAGGCAGGGGCCGTATGAGACGATAAGTACCCAGACTCCAGGTCTAGTCCCGAACAATACGGCGTAATTAGCCTTTCCCGGGCTGGCGTCGCCCATACTTCCCTGCTCGTGCTGGCTGCTGGATGCTAGCAACTGGGTACTGGGGGGGAAGACGCCGGTTCGCTGCGACTCCATCTAGTAGACGGTGGACACCTCCTCTGATTTGCTTGACTCTGGAATGGATCAATCGGCACGTCTGGCGAACATACGCCGTCTCCATGTCAATGCTGCGCCAAACCCTTGGAGGGGGGCCCTTCACTGTCCACCCCGCGACCAGAACGGAATTGACGAAGAATTTGTTGCGGTAACCTTAAAGCCGAGTGTGACGGCCCTGCCTAGCGCAGCATTGGCTTCGACTGACACGCGCGTGTTTGTGAACGTAGCACCAGTCAGGTAGTCCCATCAGGTCATCTTCCCGTCGTATTTCAGGACATGCTTCACCGACTAATACTGCAGTGTGCTGACATCGCTCTACTATGTATGAGGCGTCAGCTTTGCTCGTGTAAGAAGAAAGGATATCATCCTCCCTCCCTTACCTATTCCTATTCGAATAGGCGGTATGGCAGCTGAAAAGGCATCATTGTGCGGCGTACAAATAGATGTGCCTAGAGACCTCGTGAGGGTGTGTCGACCCAGGTCCCAGCATCCTACAGCTGCATCATCTCTCACATCACCGGCACTCTTCCGCCGGCCGAAGCGAGATGCAGCACCTCTAATGGGGGGCCAACCTAACCCAAGGCGACGACCCCAGCAGCCCAGGGCCCCAGGGGCCATCTCCTGCCCGCCAGCTCGGTCTCCGGTTCCAATTGCCAGAAGACACTTCGCCCATGTGTTCTTGTGTCCGCGGGTGCGCAGTAAGGCATGTGTCCCCCAGTGCTCTGGAATCGAAACAGGGCTGTCCGACTAGGTAGTGTAAGCCATCCGCCCCCCAAAGATGCAATGCAACACACCCGACGACGTCGGCTCTCCGACACTGAGCGGACGTAGGAATACAGGTGAGATGCTGTAAGCCCTGGCAAGTCTTGTCGAAGCAAGGTCTCCCGGGGATGCGACTTACACCTTTCCGCCACGGCTAGCGCAGGCAAAAGTTGAGACACCGAAGCAGGCAGAGGAAGATGCGAGATTCCAGTTTCCCCGATTGTGACAAAGGGCAAATCGAAGATCCCGAGGATTTCGTTCAACTTGGGCTCTTGACCTGTCATTCCACCACACGGTATAATAGTCACACGTGCCCCTTCCTTCTCTCGTAAAAGTCGGCTGTAGGACTCTTTCCTCCATTAGCGCCTCGGTACCGAAAGAAGTAAACGGAAGGAAAAAAGATGACAAAACAGAAGAGGTACCTTGCTCCAGAAAGTCCCAGAAGGCAAGAACCATGGTCCATCAAACTTGCAGCGGGTGGACCAAGAACCGGAGTCCGGGTCCGAGTAACTGGCGAGCCTTCTTCCTTCCCGTCCAGTGATAATCGACATGAATAAGCTGACAGGGTCCTTTAAAGGCGGTGACGAATGAGGCAATCGGGGGTCATGCCAGTTCCCCCAATTTCACCCCCCCAAAAAACGCCTTTTTGTTTTTTCTTCCTTTCCTTCCTGCGAGAGAAGATACGTAATCCCGAGGTCTGGCAGGGACCTCCCCTCGGTGATAGGAGCAAGGGCCATTGATCAGACCGGATGATCAATGATAACAATGCAACCCGCAACGGCAGTGTGATTTGATGTTGTGTGTGCCATGTGGTGGCTTGAGCTTCCACCTCCTTCCAAGGTCCGAGATCCCATGGATGCGTTTCCCCAATCGACGACCCCTCCGCCCTCGGTGACCGAACCTCCTCAACGTCTCACGGCTCCGAGATGCAAATTAACGCCGAGCTTGCTGCGGTTTTATTTTCTGTCGTTTGTCAAATTGTCTATTTGCGGAGGTTTCGTGTAACTGGTGAGACGTTCGAAGCGGGCATCAGCAACTAAGGTGAAGTCAAAATGCCGGATCCGAGGTGAGAAACGCGGTCTTGTTCGGTGATAAAAAAAAAACAAGGCTTATTGAAAATCTCGTGGGTTGGGGCACTTTTTTTCTCCCTCCACAGTGCCCAGAAAAGATGGCGAGTAGCTTGCCGAGGCTCGCATCCATCTCCCGACAATTATCAGCCAATCGCCTAATTCTAAAATGTCATCTCGGGCCTTTCATTCATCATATCATGCCTGCTATCTCCTTGGCCAAGCCCGCGGAATATCTACTTGAAAATAGAAACAATGGTAAAGCGCGCGTCAGGTGACTCATTGTGCTTCGAGAGGGTCTCAAGTACTAAGGTAGCGTGATAGCTTGACAAAGTTTGTGTCATTATCAACTAGGTAAATGGGTATCTGCATCTAGTCCGCCCGTAATCATGAAAGGGGTATACGCATTCAAAGAAGTCCCCGTCGTACGAGTCACAAAGAAAAAGCCCGAGGCCGGCTGGCAACCGCATGCTAGCCTCATTCCTTCGTTCCATCGTATCAAGCGTCGGGGTCGCTGTCCCCGTCGTTGAGTGAAGTGTTGAAGTCAACCTTCATTTCCATCATTGCGTCTCTCGCAAGGCATACCACAATGGCGATGGTAATGGCATTCCAAACTGCCTGGTAGTTTTTGCTGAGACCAACCTCGACCTGGTAACTGACATAGGCCTCGTCTCCTTCTTTGGCGGAGTCAATGGTAAGTACCATGACGGATGTGTTGACGATGAAAAGTCCATATATCACGGGCGGCCGGCGGGTGTACTGTTCTTCCTGCCCATGCGGAGACTGACTTGCCGGACTGGAGAGGTTCCAGCCCGGTATCTTGTCCTTCTGGTTATCGTCGTGTTTGGTTCCGTTGCTAGGAGATGTCGAGCGGCGCAATGTGCGAGGTTTCTTTGGCGACGGCGTCTGATACTTGTCGGGCACAAGAACAACTCTATTGTCCTCGATTTCGGCATCTTCATCCTCGTCTTCGCGATAGTCAGGATTCGCTAGACCATTCCTCCAATGAGCGCGATGGGTAGCAGCAGCCGCCTTGAGACGTAACTGCATGTGCTCCTCAATAGCTTGAGGCGACGCTTTCGTGTCCACCATGTCAATGATGAGATTCGGCAGATACTCGAGACTGTTGTATCCCCCGTCTTGTTCAGCCCATTTCGCATATTCGTGAAGTTCCTTCTCAATGTGGGCGCGTGCTCTGTGTCTTTGGCGTGTCTGGCACAAGGCTCGCACATGCGCCGTCAGCTCAATGAGCCGAGCGAGTGCTCTGGTAGCTTCAGACTGTTAGCCGTCAACCTTTTCTAAGTTCTCTCGATTTTGGATTCTCACCCTTGAAGTCATTTCCACTTCTCGAGTTGATGACGGGCGGGTGGGCATCAGAGCTTGCGAAGAGAACATCCGGGATGGGAATCCCTCGGAAGTCCATATCCCAATGCGATGGTAGTAGAGGACTGTACTGCCTCATGTACAGAATTTGGAAGAGTCTGTTCTCTTCGTCTGTCCAGTCGTCGCTGCCTGGGAATAGTTTCCTTTCCTCGTCCATCTCGTCCAGCTGCCGCCTCTCCTCGTCCTTTTCCTTTTCGCTCAAGACATCTTCTTTTCTCTTAGAAACTTTGCGCGGTGTCTTTTTGACACGACCGGACAAGATTTTGTCTGATCCCGGTGTGCCATCTCTGCCAGCACTCGTGCTCGTCGGTGGAGTTTCGGTGAGCGGTGTGGCGCTAAGACGACTGCGAGCGAGTGGTCTACTGATTTGCGGCGTGCGCGCTGGTGAGGCACTCCCCACAGATTCCGATGATTGTCGGTTCATGTCAAAATAGAATGTAATGATATTGGTTGCGCGCGATTCTTAGTAGTGCGATTCAAATGACACTTTGCCAATTTTGCGGTGAGAGTCGAAGTTGGATAAAGTTCAACAAATGGTGGCGCTGCGAGAGTTGCGCGCTTTTTGTCATCTCACGAAGGTGCTGTGTGAGAATGGCAGCTACAAATATACATCTCTTTGTCAAGTCAACTCTTATTGCGTCCTCATCTGGAGACTTCTATTTTGACTACCTACTTGCAGTGACTCGGCGAATACGCAGGAAGCAAGGAGATAACCGCCCCTCAAGTCGCATTGATCGTGAGTTTCGAGGAAAGCAGCAAGGTCCTAACTATTGTATTGTTTACGACGGATGCGGCGTCCAAACAAAAAAGCCGTTGATGTCCTCTGTTTAAAGTCGATGGCGACGCGGTGAGACAATGGCAATTGAGACAAAAGCCGCGCTTGCTGCAGGCGCTCTCAAGGTAAGGTAAGGCACGGCAGGCAGCACTTGCCTGACAAGGTGTAAGTGTAAAGGCCCGTGCTCCTACTTTACTCTTGTGTCGTCCAATATTTTTTGGTTGTAGACCACGTGACTGATCTCCCGGCAGATAACCGGCCTAGCGAAAACTTGTGGGTCTGCTGGCAGAAATGACATCTTACCCAGACGAAATCGATCACTAAAGGTGGGAAGGAACCCCTGCACTAGTGACTTCCCTGCTTTATTAGCGTGCCTGCTTACAGTGGAGAGGCTCTGGTTTGCATGACGGGGCAATTTTTCAGGTCGCGACGACGCGCCTCAGAGCACTCAAGTGCCTTCACCTAGGCTCATTCACGTCCTGCAACTACAACCCGAATAGGCCAACATCGCATTATTCCATCATACGAAAATCATCTTACCAACGCTGTGCGCTTCCTCCAGAACACGTGCCTGCTATAAAAACATTTCTACAAGCAGTCTAGCTATGCGCTAGCTTTTGCGCCAAACCAGCAGTTATTCATCATGAATTGGAGCAAGCAAACCGTCGTTCAACTCAAGGCGGAGTTGAAACGCCGAGGACTCGCCACCGCCGGTCTCAAACAGGAGCTCGTCGAGCGACTGACCACTAGCGACGAGGCAGTAGAGGAAGAGGTACAGGAAGAGGCACAAGAAGAAGAGGAGGAGGCTTCCACAGAGCCTGAGCCCCAACCCGCCGAATCTGCGGAGGCGCCTACCGAACCTACCCCCATCGATACCACCACCGAAGATTCTGCCGATACTCAGACTACAACTGCGCAAGCAGCTGTGGCAAGCCCTGAACCCAAGCCCGAGCAATCGGCAGCCGAACCCTCAACCCAAAATACGGAGACGACCATTCCGGAATCAATCGCCGCCGCGAACCCTACGCCTCCTGCCCCCGCTGAGATAGCGCAAGATGCTCAGAAACGAAAGCGCCGATCCCAGAGCCCTGCCGAATCGTCAGAGTCGATTACTCACAAGCGCATCAAGGCAGACCAAGACCGTATCGAGGCAGACAAAGCAGACGAGGCACCAAGCTCAGAGTCAACTAGCGTTGCTGGTATCATACACCAAGTCAAGGAAGGTGTGAAGGATGTCTTGAAGGAGAGCCTGGAGGGAGGTAGCGGTCTTCTTGAGGATGTTGCGAAGGAGGCAAAGGACACTTCGAAAGACGTTGAAGAGCTCGCGGAGAGCCACACTTTCGAACAGGACCTGCCGACGACAGAAGCAAACGCCGAAGAAGACACGGAGATGCAGGATGAGCTTAACGGAAAGGTGGACGCAGTCTCTGCCGCCGATCCTGACCATCGACAGGCTTCAGTTCACGGTCAAGAGCACCCCACGGACGGTCCGGTCACTGACCAGGAGCGACACGAGATTGCACCAGCAGACAACAATGACGCCATGGAGTACGAAAGAACGGTGCAGCCAGCTATCCACCCTGCTACCAGGGCTCTCTACATCAAGAACTTGATGAGACCACTGAAGGAGTCCACAGTTCATGACCGTCTTGTTGAGCTATCAACTCCTTCTGGCGCAGAACCCAACTTGGACGATGTCGAGGACGTATACCTGGATTCCATCAAATCCCATGCATTTGCAGTGTTCAGAACTACGACTTTGGCTTCGCGTGTCCGTAACGCGTTGCATGACGTCACCTGGCCTGACGAAAGCAACCGCAAGCCACTGTCGGTGGACTTTGTGCCACCAGAAAAAGTGAGGGATTGGATTCATGAGGAGGAGGCTGAAGGAAAATCCAACAGAAGCGCTCGATTCGCAGTGCGTTACGACATCGAAGACGATGGATATGTCACCGCTCGCCTGGTCTCTGGTAATGGCGTAACACCGGCCGAGCCAACTAGGGGTGCACCTGCAGGCCCAGCTGTTAAGGACGTCAACGCCATTCCTCTCGGTCCTCGTGGCGGTCGAGGATTTGAAGGAGCTCCCCTAGGCCCCAGAGGAGACTCCCAGCGTGGTCCTGGTCCTAGACCTCCACGACTGATAGAAAACTTTCCTGGAGGCCCTGTACAAACCACGCGAGCCCACCCTCCGGTATCCTTCCAGGCCGTCTCAGATGATCTTGTCAGCAGACGACTGCGAAACATGCGTTCTTACTACACCAAAGATGTTGATAGAGACATGGGTTCGGAGACGGAGATCAACCGCTACATCTTCGAAGAAGGCGACAAGTTTGTTGACCGTGGCCATGAGAACTTTGTCGGCATCCGACCCCCACACAGAGAGGCTGAGCGTCGTCGACAAATGGCCGGCGGAGGGCCGCCGCCGAGGGGACCACCTCCTCCAGGCCGTGGTGGTAGACGCAATGGTGGCAACGGCCGTCGCGGCCCCCGCATGGTCAGCGATAGGTATCTGCCGGGAATTAATGAGAGCGGCCCCTATCGTCAGGGCGACCGTGGAAACTTTGGTGGTTCTCGTCCTGACGGCGGCCGCCGTTTCCGTTCCGACGACCGTGGCAGCCGGTACTAGGAGCCCAAATCATCTCCTCAGAGTGATCGGTTGGCTGCTTCGGCTTCCATCATGCCTATGGCTGCGTTCCAAACGCCTTCCGCGACCACGTCCAGGCCTCCAGTGGGTTTGCCTAGCAATCTCGAGTCCAATCGACGGCAACTTCACAAGTCTGAATGTCCCAACCATTTGGAAACAGACTACTGCAATTGTCCGTGGCGTGTCGATAATCCCAGCGATCCCCATAATCAGATTACGGACCATTCTCCGCATTGCCGCAACGCCGCTGGCCATGATTTATGCTTTTGTCCCCTGCGCACTCGCCCTGTGACGCCCCCGCTGGTCATTCCAGGCGGACCTGGGTATTTTTCGCCTTCTGGGTCATCGACGGTGATGACACCACCCCCAGCATGGAAACCCGCGTAGCAGAGGCGACTAGGGGTGTTGGTGGTGGAGGATGATCCTGAGCTCAACGACATTCGTGAAGAGGTTTGGATACAGCAGGCTGCCGAGGCGCTGGGACGATTACTTCGAGCATCCCCAACTTTACGATGATCTCGGAAATGGTACTCCTCCTATCCTGCTCTTCTCAGAGCCAACCGGAATATCATGGCAAGTATTCAATACAAAAACCTAGAAGGAAAATGGGTCATTGTGGAGGGAATGCGTCGAGGGACCCCGTCGAGGGAATGCGTCACTTACGGAGCATTAGCTGTATGCTCAACAACATCCCAGACTGCCGGTTGGGCGGGTGCGGAAAGGATCAAACACACAAAAATAGATCAGGTCTAGACTGTATTATTCTCTTCTTCTTCCTTTCCCCCAACCGACGGTTCGAAACCATAGAGAGACGTGGGGACAGGCACATGACTCCACGTTGCGATACCACTAGCTAATTGAAGATGCTTCTTGAACATCGTCGAGGTCCATCCTGTTTTGATGCTCGTGATCGATCCATGGCGATCTTTGCACTCGACGAAGGGGATTTATACGTTCTTCAGACACCCGTCTCGTCGGCAGTCAGAATGGAGGCCCTCCATGGAAGCAACTCTTCGGTAGAGTCGAGCCCCAATACTTCCAGTCTCGATTCTGGAAAAGAGCGTAGTTGACAACGAATCAAGCAAAGAAGGAGAGTCCTTGGTTGATAATGCTTCAAAAGCTGCGTCTCTGTTGGAGTGTACTCCGTGTCCCCAGACCAAAGAGAAGCCACCTAAAAAAAGAAGGGTCCTGACTGACTGCGAGAACTCAATATGAAGCCGCCCCGTGACCGAGCCTCGGTGACAAGTTGTCTCTTCCACCCTCTCGTCTAGTCAATCCCCCCTGACAATATCCCACCTGCCTCGAGTAGCTCATTAGTTTGCTCTCGCCCTTGGCTTTGCTGGTCTCCTTGACCCTTCCGGTATGGATGTCCAACAACCCCATTCACCCTGAAGATTTGGTCCATAGCCCATCTCAAGAGCTCCTTGTATGTCGCGGGCCTGGAGCCATCATCTTCAGGCTCATGGTGAGAGTGGTACGCCTTGTAGGCCGGCCTATCGTATCATGAGCCATTCTGTCCACATTTCTTTCGTCACTATTGGCGGTGTTCTTACCAGGCGACTTCGTCAAAGTATTCCTCAGTGAGGCCCTCTGCGACAAAGCGAGGCACACCTTGGTACTAACTGTGCTGCTCCTGCCGATCTGATGCCCACGTTCTTGCAGTTCGCTCTGAGATGTTGGGACACAAGTTGAGGTCAATCATATTTCGTAAAGCTTCCTAGGCCTTCTGCTGCGTATCGCTGCGGAAAATTCCAAATCCCGACTGTTGAGGCGGCAAGGCTGTAGGGCAAACAGCGTTCATGAGAGGGCCTTCGACCAGGATCAGCTGTGATGGCAAGGATGTCGAAATCTCTTGGTTGTCCGGGTAGTCTATAAGTGTTTTGTAGCAAAATTGAGCTAGCCAGAAGCTCTGACGACCTGATTTGGCCGCAGTGGAAAGAGTGGCCTCCCTTAGACGAACAAGGTCAGTGACATCCCCTGCTCTCAGGTGCGGGCTGCGAATACGGCGACCCTTTGCAGTGGCATATGTCTCCCTTGTTCGATCCGACTGGGAACTATAGTTGCCTGCTCTCAACTCATTGACGTCTTTGATCATCTCTTTCCAGTCAACTGAAAATAAGCAGTTTGTGTGGACAACACGCTTCCCACTTCGCAGAGTTATTTGTGGACAATCTGCAGGAGGGAGGATATAGGCGTCTTGCGAAATTGTGAAGACTCTGCTGTTCTGTCCAAGCTTTTTGAACACGTAGCTAAGATGTAAGGCCAGTGTTGACTTGCCGCTCGAAGGGCCACCGCCGATACCGACGATGTAGGTTGGGATGTGGGAAGCCTGTCCTTCGATTGCAGTATATTCGCTCGATGCAAGATGTATACGCGAAGACGGTGGTGGAGAGGCAGATTCGAAGCTTGGCGGAGGAAAGCAAAACACTGGTAAAGAAGACGACTCCGATGGCGAGGTGTTTCGATAGGCGCCCACCCACTTGGTGAATACTCCCCAATTGAGCCCAGTGACATTGCAGCTCTGCGCCGAGTTCTCAAAGTACAAAGGCGCCTGGACGAAGGGTTTAGGAGGAAAGACGCCTTCGCTATTGAAAGGCGTTTGAATTGGTCTTTGCCCTTCATGCAAGGCGTCAGCTGCGCACAAGTCCGCCTGCTGACCATAGACTGGGTATATCCAGACTTTTAGCAGGGCGTCGATTTCCTTCGACTCTTCTGGTGTGAACAACAGACCCAGCTGCGAGGCGTCGGCAGCGTGAAGATCCTCCCATTTATCGTAAATGAGGTCCGCCCAGCCATCGTAGGTGAGATCATCCATGCCGGTCGATGTCGAAGAGCTGTCCTTTGGTTGAATCTCGACTTCTGAAGTTGTCATTACGGATACGGAAAAGGGTATAAGGCGTCGAGAAAGACTGAAAAGGCGGCGAGATAGCTGTCGATACGTTTGCAGTATGTGCTAGAGTGATGTGGAAATGAAGTGCGTACGGTGAGTGATGGGCGTCCGAGAACTCAACGATACTGGTCAAGGCCTAGGCTGGTCAACGCCCTTGCATTGCCGTTCTGTGCAATTGCTATGTCTGCCATGATCAGCACCTCTTCTTTCCCTCTGGTAATGGCAATCTTCTTCTTACGCGGCGCCTATCACTGTGGTTGTACTGGTCGTTAGCTGCTGCTTTTTTAGCCTCATGTCACATGAGAAGGAACTGGGGGAAGAATGATGTTTCCATATCATGAACGTTTTGGGTTTCAATTTGGAAAGTAGCTTTCTCAGAGCTGCTATGAACTGTGTAGTGAAAAAAACGAAGGAGAAATCATCAAATCCCACTTAATATGTATGCCCAAGGTCCAAATAGACCCCAAATCAACTGCCGCGATACCCATAACTACAAGATAAAAAACCAGAAACCCCATTTTGCACCAGGACGCAAGTAACCCCTATTCTGATCACACAATGCGGATTCAATTAAGCAGCCGCGGCGAGGGTGGTGGGCTCGACACCAACACGCTCCCTGCTGAGGATGTCAAGCATGAGCTGAGTGGGGCGGTTGTCCTTGAAGATCTTCTCGCTGTCCTTGAACATCTGAACGTTCTCGAGGTACTTGTCAAAGAGGTAGGAGCTGTCCATCGGGCCACCCTTGGCCTCGGGGTGGAACTGGGTGGAGAAGATGGGGCGGGTCTTGTGCATCATGCCCTCGTTGGAGCCGTCGTTGAGGTTGACAAAGTACTCCTTGAAGTCGCTGGGGAGGGTGGAGGAGTCAACAGCGTAACCGTGGTTCTGGCTGGTGATGTGGCACTGGCCGGTGGTCAAGTCGAGGGCGGGGATATTGTGGGCGCGGTTGCCGTACTTGAGCTTGATGGTGCGGGCACCGACGGCCAAGGCGAGAAGCTGGTGGCCGAGGCAAATTCCCATGATGGGAACGGGGGAGGTCTCCATCAGGCGGCCAAGGTTGTAGATGGTCTCCTGGCAGTGAGTCGGGTCACCAGGGCCGTTGGAGATGAAGACACCGTCGAAGTTGCTAGCAACCTTGTGGATGGGGTAGTTGTAGGGGAAGACGGTGACGGAGGCGCCACGGCTGACCAAGCTGCGGAGGATGTTCTCCTTGACACCGCAGTCGATCAGGGCAACGTGGAAGCGGGCGCCAGGGGACTCGACAACGAAGGGAGCCTTGGTGCTGACACGCTTGACCAAGTTGATGGCACCGGGGTCGATGAAGCTCTCGTCCTCGTCGGCGTCGTACTCGTCACCAATGGTGATCCTAGCGAGGGAGGAACCCTGCTCACGGAGGTAGGTGACGATCTCACGAGTGTCGACGCCAGAGATGGCCGGGACACCCTCACGGGCGCACCAGTTGCCCAAGCTCTCAACAGCGGTCCAGTGGCTGTACTCGGTCGCAACGTCGGCGACGACGACACCGGCACACTGGATGTGAGGGGACTCGAAGTACTTGAGGAGGTTAAACTCATCACGCTGGTTGGAGGGCACACCGTAGTTGCCAATCAGGGGCTGGGTGAAGACCAGAATCTGGCCACGGTAGGAGGGGTCGGTCATGGACTCGGGATATCCGACCAGGGAGGTAGTGAAGACGGCCTCGCCAGAGATGTTGGAGTTTGCTCCAAAGGCTCGGCCGGAGAAGACAGGGCCATCCTGAAGGGATTGTTAGCAAGCTTGTTTCTATCATCGCGAAGTAGGTGGATATTTCTCGGTGGTGACATACTCGGATGGTCAAGGTGGCGTCGAGGTTGGCGACGGGGTTGGTGGCACGGGTCTGGGTGAAGGGCATCTTGCGGCCCTTGCTACCAGCGGCCTGACCGGAGAGGAATCGGGTCTGAACTCGGAGGCCGGAGCTCAACCCGGCGGCACCGTTGGCCGCGGGCTTGGTGAGGGAAGCCAATCGAGAGAACATGTTGGCTGTGGTTTAGGTAAAGGTGTTGTAGAAGAAGTTCCTTGTGGTTTGGATAGACACTTTAGGGGCTGGCAGCCTTCCACAAGTGGTCTGTTGGGGGGTGGGAAACATGGTCAGTCTCGCGTGCCACTATGGAGGGGCGGTGAGTCAATCGAGGATATTATGCTAACCTGAGAGATAATCCTGAAGATAGCGAGTCAGCAACCGAAATTTAGCAATATTAATGATTGAAAGGAAGCAATGCGTCTTCAGTGCAAGCCGACTAGACACCAAGGGCCTTCAATTGGGCTATGGGCACCAGCTTGAGACAGAGTTTGGCGGCGGGGTCGAGAGGTATCACGAAGAGGGCGAGCTCAGACGAACCACCAAGGAAAGGACTGGATAAGAGAGATGAATGAAAATCATCTACATACCTGAGAGGTGAAGACTGAAGGACGCCCGTTCATAAGGGCAGCTTGCAAATGGTCAATCAGTAGAAGAAGGGTAGTGAAGTGCTCGAGGCGAGGTTGTGGAGGGATGATGGCTGGATATAATCTGTGACGAGAGTGTTGCACGATGCGGCAGGATTTTTGGATCTGGAGGAGGGAAAAGGGAAAGAAAAGAAAGAGAAGGGAAGTGGTGGGAGGAGATCGGGTAGAAAAATAGGAAGCACGAGCGCCGGCACACGGAGTCACACAGATGGAGCGCAGTAGGTACCTCAGCAAACGGGGCCCCTCTTCCTCCACCTCCACCACCGCTCACCCCGTCCAAGTCCCAGGTATTCAACGTCAGGTCAAGGTCAACCTGGCAGGTCACAGCCAGCAGCAGTACTTGGGTTTGGGCTGGGCAAATTTTTTTCGGGGAGCTTGTCATTGGACCCTTTGGGGAAAGATCGGTTGCTGATTAGCTAGTCAACCAGTGAAGGGGGGTCAACGGGCCCCCCGTTGTGAGGATGCCTGCAGGGGAAAATCTCGCCGCACCAAAGCTTGGGCTGTCACCAAAGCACCGGGCGGGCACTGACAGCCGGCAGGTAAACCGTAGTGTAAGGTAAGGTAGGTAAGGTACCTCCCCGCCCCAGCACAAGGGCGCCCGCCCGCCCGCCGATGTCGTTCCTTATCGCGGGGCTTTACATAATTCGCCCAGCCTTTTAGCAATTCCGCCCTTTAATCATTTTGCCCCTGCTTCTTATCAGCCCTGCTGAAGCCGAATTGGACTGGTCCTATCAGTACGCAGTAAAGTGCTCTTGGGCAATTACATCACCGCCCACCGTGCTTTGTACTTTTGTGTGTACGGAAATGCTCTGTTCACAACATCAGCACTAGAAAAATTCTACGCCGTGCCATTGAGCCGGCATTGGGCTGCGGAAAGACGCTTTTGACCCAGGGATCGCTATTGCAGCTACCCGGCACACTGTTCCAAAGCTTCATTCCCCCAAAATTGACGCAATATCAGAGTTGGTGGGCTCTTTCTCGTCTTGCTTTTCTCTCGCGCCCTCCCCATCCCGCCGCCGGGTTCGGAGTCCCACTTTCAACTATGTACTATGTAGAGGTGACCGTCCCACTGGGTGAGTTAAAACTGCTGACATTGCATACTGTAGACAGCCCTGGGCTTCCCTGCATAAATCGCCTAGATGCAAATACATTCATCCTCACCTCTCCCCGGTTGGGCTAGAACGACTGAACAACTTTTCCTGCCTCTTCCAACGGAACGGGGCTGTCAAACGGGGACGCGCATTGGCGGTCGGCCTATCGCAAGCTAATATCGGGTCCTCCCTTGCCAACCAGAACCGGAAACCCTCGATTAGAGTCCCTTTCAACCCTTTCTCCGGGATCCTGCAGTCTACACCGACTCGAGCCCGCCTTCCCGCGTCCCTTTTTTGTTCCTGTCTGGACTCTTGGAGGGGCGCGTGTTTGGAACTTTGAAAGAAGACAGATGCAGGACCTTGCAGCACCCATCTGCTCGGAAACCCCGGCTCACTCAAGGCGGTCTGCCTCTTTCAACCAATGACTTTAGTACAACATGATTCTAAGCACGTAGCCACGCAACCACGCGAACAACGCGCAGCGGGCCATCATGGTCGGGGGTTTCGTGTATTTGTCGTCTTTTCTTTTTCCCGCCTTTTTGTCTCATTCGTCTTTTGTGTTTAGACTTGCGAGATTCTACGGAATGCTACCTCGACTTCGACCTCGACATGTGGTCTCACCGTGTCAGCAGCTGCCTGGTCGAACATGTCTGGTTACATACATGCCAAGGATGCGGTCAAGAACTTTGGCTTCTGACCCCTCATCTCGTGTTCGAGACTCTGGAGTTCTCATTGCGCTGTCGCCAACAGACGTCAAGTCAGCATTGTGGACAGAAAGACCAACCTTCGCCGCAAAGTCACGACTTTCTCATACCGCGTTTGCTGGGACTCTTTCAAACTCTATATGAAGCTATCAAAGTGGGGACGGACGCCTCACCGTCAAGTGATCTTGTAAGCAGTAGAAGCCACACGAAGCATTCAAGATGAGATGGCCTTGCAGCAGGATGGAGGCTGCTTCAGCTTCATTGCTGCGAGCCGGTGACCTTTTACTGAAGCCAGTTTGAGGCCACTGAAGACCACGATGTTGACCTTGCTGAGATGTTAACCATCAAGTTTAATACCCTTCATTTTCTACAAGCTTCAAGTCACACATCAAGTGATGGTCCGCTCTCATAAGATCAGAACACTCAATGCCAACCATTCTACTTTTCTTCCGTCCTCTTCCATCAGAGTATATACAACCTCACCCTCCTCCCCGCCCCCTCAGCCTCAGCCTCCTCCACCATCCTCCGATTCGCCCTCCCAAGCGACCACCTCATCCAAAACACCGTCCCGATACACATGACGGAAAACATCATCATAAGCAAAAAAGCAAGCAGATACCTCGGGTTATCCGCCGGCCTAAAAAAATACGGGCTCCAAATATTCCCAACTTGCGCCAACAAGCACACAATCGACGTCGCCGTCGCC